TTTATTAAAAAACAACAAAATTGTAGTGTTAATCCAATTTAGAAAATCTGTCAGATTGCACAGGTTTATATCAAACACAGTGTTGGCGACAACTCTCAGCTACCAAACCAAGTTTACCTCAGTATCTGTAAAACCGCCTGCAGTATATCCATTTTTGTAGTGGTGCCTAAGTATTATTAGCAGTGGTGGCCATCTTGAAAATGCTTGCCCAAAAAGTAGATGTGCACCCAATATTTACTTTCTGTGCATTTCATTAACATCCATAGAGATTCAAGACTTTTTGTTAATGTGGAAAAAAATGCTCTGATGGATCTTTCTTGTTCAGGATGACAGCCAATCATCACTCAGTGCACCTCTTATGAGACCAGTATCAACCAGTGTTGCTACAATGCTCTGATATAATGCACATGCCCCTTTACCTAACATTACCTGTTATGGTCTGCTTAAATCAGTACATGTACTTCTTTAAAAATAATTTGCACTGTGATTTGTATAAATTGAGTGTGTTGCCGTAGGTACACATGATTAGTCAGTTAGGCTTAATTCCCTCATGCACCAAGAGACAGCACCTATCTTCATGTAGTGCCTGCTGAATGCAATGCTTGATTTTCATAAACAACCTCCATTTTAACATGCTGTTTATTTTCAAATGAACCGTGGCCCTGGTCTGCTGTTAATTGGCTGCACCATGAGAAGATGGCACTAATTATTGCTGCAGTAATTACAACTGGACTGCTGCTGCTTTGCCTTTAGATAGATATACAATCCCTGATCCCTGGGACAGGATTGCATCTTGAATAGAAGTCAAGAGCATGGGGCGCCAAGCTTAAAATAAAATGTTAAAAAATGCCAGTAGCTTGTTTTCTTTGTTCACATCACTTGCTAAAACCCCAAAGATTTACACAAACATTTTCATTATTTATTTTATTTTATTTATCTCACTGTTTTTACATTTTGCTATTTTTTACTGAATGTGAAATTTAAATGGTTAATGTTTTGTCTAAATGGTAAATCCTAAATCTAAATGTGGCTAGTTGTTAAAGTGTACATTTACATGGTTCAGAATGGAACACAACCTTTGCCTTTACCTTTGTTGGTGTGAGGCTTTTTGTTATGACATCATCACCCTGCGACAAAAGCAAAACCTGACGCTGCTAACGCCACTGCTAACGCCACTGCTAACACTTCTCTTCAGTTTTTAATGAACACATTTAAAATTTTAAATTTGAATACCAGTTTCAGCATGTCACAGGATAACGTCACAACAAGTCACGCACCAATTGCAAAGGCTGTGTTCCATTCCAAAATACTTAAATGTAAGCTATATCATTTAGCTGCAACATTGAAGATTAAATTTTTACATTTAGATTTACACATTTAAATTCAGGATTTAATATTTACATGTATATTTTAACATTCAAATGTAACATTTAGTGAAATGTACGAAAAATAAGCTAAATAACAATAAAATATTAGTGATTTTTTTCAACTATATGCAGAAAAGGACCTAAATGTTAAAAATGTGTTAGTGACATTTGTTTAATATTTTATTTTATACTTGACACCCCATACAAGAGAGTCTGGCTTTGTTACCATTGACCTTATCTGATTTGAACCTGGTGCGTGCACGTGGTTTACTACAACTGTGCATGGAACTGTTGATGTGAATGTGCGGATATCAGACTGAGGATCATATTGTGTGATTCAATCTGTTTATTTGTTGATTCTACAAATTTGTGTCTTTTGCAGCTGAAAGCTTCTGGTTGGTGTAGTGGTTTGTTCCTGTCAGTGATGGTGTCTCCTTCCTGTATGCTGCAATCTGTGTGTCTTGTTTGGGTGTGGATTCATCGTTGTGTTTGTGTTTGTGTGCTGTCTGAGATGTCCATTTGTTTGTTAGAAATTGCCTCCCCACTATTAAGCCTCAGCTGCACCTTCGATCTCCACACCGTTTACTGTAAGTCTTTTTAGACACGTTTTAACAGTGTTTGCAATATAAAAAAAACAACAACTTCGGAACACTGTTTCCTTCTTCCTTTGTAAAACAAACCAAAGTGTCTTTCGGTATCATTTTAATTATTTCATTTTATGAGAGCCTCAATGGGGCATCGAGGGAATTTATAATTCAAACAAAAAATAACTTATGACCCCTAAGCTGCCTCTCTAATACAGTATGACTGATGTCAAAGGTTAATGACAATATTTTAAAAACCAAATGTGAACAATTAGTTAGCACAAGAAATATATGGGGCAATGATATTTTGCTGACACTACAGACAGTTAGACACACATCAATACATATTCTCCTTCTGCAGTTTTGACTGATCATTTTTTTTCGCATGTTTGCCTGTTTAGTATTTTTCATTGGTATGAAAATACTTTAAAATGTTAAAAATGATAACTTTGGAGAACTAAACAATTTTTTCAGACAATAAACAAAGTATGTAGATTTGCATCACTGCATTTCGAGTTGATGAAGCTCACAGCAGACTGATCTCCGACGTTACAATTAGCATTTTAAATCAAGTGCTGTCGTTAGGAGCAGCCTCAAAGCCTCTGAGGTAGTTGAAACGCTGAATAAAATATAAGTCTAAATAATACAAAGACTTACTCGGACTGATTATTGAATGCAAATAAAAGGCACGGTGCAGACTCAAGACTTGTGCCAGTCTTTTCTCCAGAGCCGACAGAGAAGAGAAGAACATATGTTGCAAGTCAGAGTTGTAGACATGTCAGGGGAAATTCTTGCTTTTTCAAGAAAATTCGACAAACGTGTTTGCCAAAAGCTTTGATGCAAAGACGAGGCAAAAATATGCATGTCATTTGCTTAAACGTGTATCAAAACCCTCAATTTTCTCAACATGGATAGATTTATTTGTCATTTGTGCACAGGTGAAAACAATGAAGTGCATGTTTAATTGGAATGAAAATTAATCTGGGATTTTTCCGTGAAGTCGTTTTTCAAATCTACCTTGCTTCTTTCATACACGGCACCGTCATTGCATTGTTAGAGCCTTGATTTAGAACCCCATTGTCTGAGAAAACAAACGTCTGTCTGGTAGTCGTGAGTTTGATTAGGATTTATGCCCCAGACAAGAACACATAGCGCCCTGCTCAGCTGTAGTCTCTGCATCCTGAAGCTTCAATACAGGACCAGGTTTCCACAGCACTTATTTGCAGTCGTATATCCCTCATTGTCAAAACTGAAATATTTCTGTGTTTCTTCTATCCCCACAGCTCTGAGAGCTTCATTTTTAGCTCATGACTGCTCCTGCTTCTGCCTTTTTTTTTTCATTTGCCTTTGTGCATGTGTGCTAATCTCATTCCAGCTTTTCAGGCCAGCCGAAGGGGGGAGAATTTGAGCAACAGCAGCAAAGCGAGAGAGCCACAGCTGACCACAGTGACGTAAGTTGCGTTAACCGGCCTAACTGAGGCTGCATGCACATATACGCTTTCGCTCACACATGGTTTCTCGCTCACCTTTAACCACATTTCCATGGGGGGGATTAACCATCAATGGCTCCTCAGTGCGAATGTGTGCATGAGAGCAAGGGGAGCAGAGAGAGTAACCAGCACTTGCCAGTTCAAGCTGCATCGCTGTTCTTTTTAAGGAAACGACGACCGACCCTGGATCTTTATTTACCTCATAGTCTTCCAATGAAATAAATTCAGACACGACACGACATTTAATGCTTTATTTTATTCAATTTTGAGTTTGAAAAAATAGGCTAGCACAAAAAAAGTCTTTTGTTTAATGGTCATATTACAAGTGATGAGATTTCACAGGAACATGCATCGTGCAACAATGACTGTATCCAGCAACAACAGCCAAATAATTGTAGGTGAAAGACTTTTATTCAGTCCAGGTATACCCACATTCTTTTTTACAGTGGGCTAGTGATTCCAAATTTATAGTTAGGTTTTTTTTATTTAATTTTTCACATTCAAAGTCAGTTTGGCCCATTATACCTTACATGATGTTCTGGATCTCTAACTACATAATGACCTGGTTGCTATGCCTCTATTGCACTGACCTGCTGACAGCTTTAATTAAGCTGCTTGTATCACTTCTTGCAAATCCTGGCTCACAACACCCCCACCCACCCCAACCCCTGCTGTCATTTTATCAGCAGTCAAATAGGAGCTGGGCTAGACAACCTGCGCGGAGAAGCTGAACACAAGGGTCTCGTGATTTTTACACGAAGATCTGTAAAAAAAAAAGGGAAAATAAATAAAGAAAAGAAAAAGCAGTCATCCACAATGTCCAGCCACACAGCTTGAAAAAAAAAAACAACCCTCTGAAATCATTTACAAAGGTGACGTGTTGAGGGTCCGGAGATGACGGGTGCTTTTCAGAGCACAGAAAAGCACGCCAGTGACAGACATGTGGAGGCAACACAATTCACATGATTCACAGAGTGTTTCCCTTCATACTTAAATTATGGCCTGCTCAGCAGCACAGAACCAGCTACACTCTTACACTGAAACACACAAATGGATAATAATAATAATAATAATAATAGTAATAATAATAATAATAATAATAATAATAATAATAAAAAAAACTGGGATCTATTTGATCTATCTCCCCAGACTGAAATGATGACCTGCATTTCTTATTGTACAACGTTCAATAACGTGTCTTAGTAGGTTGTGCTTCATTTTTAAATATCTAGTGGAACGTGTCCCGTCAGCAGACTTTAGTTAACATCAGGCACAAAAGAAGCAGATACTGTACCTCTCTGCTTCGTCATGCAGTCACACAGGGTCGGAATATTAAGGTCACATTTAGAGAAGACGAAGAAGAAAAAGAGAGAGAGAGTGGGGTGCATGGAGAGAAAGGGATTGTCTGTCATTTTATTTCCAGCGGCTTGTGAGCCATATGTTCAGCCCTGGGACAGAATAAACAACATGAGGGCCCGGCAAGAGCTCAAATACACTCCAACACACCGACACATGGGAAGCAGACGTCGTGCGAGGGTCAGGAAACATTACTGATAAACTTTTAGTGTCCAGAACAATTAGATTTATTTAAACAGAAAATAATCAGATGTTTGGGTTCAGCAAATATTGCTCACCAAGACTGTTAAGTGTCAAATGATGTAAGCTGACCTAACAACAAAATGAAACATCAAAATACAACCAAGGTTCCAAATCCTGTGCTATCAAATTTATTGAAGCGTGTTAAGAAATATTTACTGGCGGCATGAAAAAAAAAAGAAAAAAGAAATGATAAGCTGCCTCAGTCCATTTCAAGAGTCTTTGATGATCAATGCCTGTTTAATGGTTGCTGTCATTCTGGGAGGAGGGAAAGTGCTGATTCACTTTCCATCTGTCTGCTGAACAAGTTAGATTTAGAGGATTTGAATAATTTCTTTCTGGGTAGTAGTGGTGGAACAAAAATGCGGAATATTTAGTTAGAAATGAGAGAACAAAACTTCCTGCTGGAAACTAGCCTATTTCAAATGCGTTTCTCTGAGAACTGATTACATGTAACAAATGAGTTAGTGGCCTTTTGAACTTGTTATAAATGCATTTTGTTGCCTTCAAAACTGAAGAAATAAAACGTTGCGCTTAATGTTTTGCAACTGGCGAATTGAAATGATCAGCTGATAATATAAAAAACATGGCAGCTGTAATAATCTCATATTTGTGCTCCAACAGAAAGAATATTCCTCTGAATGTCAGTGCATTCCTTTTAATTGCCTTGAAGGCAAACGCATTAGGACACAATAGCTCGGTATTTTTAGTGTTACATTTTAAAACTGAGCTCAACACATTCTGTAAATTCCAAGAAAAAAACAAACAAACTGAAAAACAGAGAGTGAGCAGTGAAGCACTGAAACAATGCCCTGAGATCTCTGTAAGGAGAAAAAATAAAGAAAGAGTGGAAAAAAAAAGGAAAGAGGTGGATGACAGAAAGAGCACTGGCAGAAAGAAAGAGGGTGAGTTGCCTCCAGTCTCGGAACAGAGGAGGATCAAAGGTTTGTGCTCTGCATCTCAATGGACATCCGGTCACCAATACTGATGAGCCCGAGCGTGTGATGCTCCTTTCACAGGGTTTATATCTTATGGGGAAACAAGTGGTTATTGTGTGCAAATAAATGGGCATCGTGACTGGACCACTGCGCCTCACAGTAATCCAAACTCTGATTATTAGGAGTAAATATTAGATTTTTGAACATATCAGTGCTGTGAACCTACATTCTGACTTTCATGAAGACTACTTTTAAACATGTCTTGGTCTAGTGATAAGGTTGAAAGCTTATATTCTAGGAATACTATATTTTTCTAAATTATCATTAGAGTGTAGGAAGGAAAAGGCAACAATATTCCTTTCTGCTCTCATGGTCTAAAATAACCCTTGTTCTTGTATGTCGAGTACATTTACCAACATTCCTCATAATGAATCCAATATCACCCTGAAATGTGTTTATTTAGCATTTTATAGGTGCAGCTGCATTTTGTGCACGAGCCATAGTTAGCTGACATGCTATGTAGCCCAAAGTGACATTCATTCTCAGCTTCCACAGTAACACAGAGATAGAGTCGCATTGCGCAGCATGAACTGATCACTGTCCTTTTTTTAAAGGAAATAACCAGGGAGGCAGTTTGCCAAACTACCCATTCCTTAAACAAACAAACATGACTTAAAATCCAAAACCCACTCTAGAAACTGAACACAGCTGTTGGTATCAATCAGGGGTATTAAAATCTATCTTTATTTTTGCAGTTATAATGATTGAAAACTCCATCAAGATGAAACAGCTCTAATGTGGTTACATTTACATGAGATAACTGCCAATTAATTTTATCCCACATTGTGCTTCAGTTTAGAAACGTGACCTAAAATGAGATTAAATGGCTGCGTTTGAGTCGTATTTTGTCCAAAGATTTGGCAACTGGCCAGAGACCTTAAGAAGCTGCGGGAAAGTCTGACACATTCATTTATGTAACTGTGGTGTCCTCTAATTCAGCCTTGAGCTTCTGCCATTAACATTTCTTGGCTAAAACAGGCTATCAGCAGCGCTAACGATCAAAGGATTTGTCCCAGATTATGGGCAACCATTAGTGTAATACTCTTTGTATATGAACTAATGTAGATATACTTTGGACATGTAGCTGTGTTAGGTTGTAAGTCATGCACGGATCCCGGGAAATGAATGGAATCTGCAGCACAACCTGTTCTACAAAGACATAGCTTTCTCAGTTACGAATCTTTTATCTGTGAGATAAACAGACAAAAAAATGCAACACATGCTGTCTAAAAGGCTGTGCTTTTTGGTTGAAAAAAGGATGTATAGGAACTATTTGCTCTGCTGTGTCAGTTTTCACCCACTCCCTGCTTTTGAGATGACATAAAAAAGATAATCTCTTTTTCATTATAACTGATTATTCTAAATGACAAATGGATAGCAGTGCTATAAATAAAGTAATCCAAGGTAGAAACTATGTTGTAATGATTTTCACACATGCGCGTACAGTTTTACTATCTTTGTGTGGACTTGCATCAACTTCCATTTATTTCTATAGCCTAACCCTTACTCCTTACCATAAACCTATCCAGCCCAGTACACGCCTAACCCTAAACCAAACCTAAACTCAATTCACACCTTGGTCCTAAGCCCAACTGTAACTCAAAAATAGTGTTTTTCCCTTGTATGAACCAGGAAAAATATCTGCATATGGGTGGTCTAATGTCAAAATATGTCCACACAACAATAGCCAGATACACACTCACAAGCTGTTTGTTTTTTATTCCTGTAGAGACATTGCATTGATTTCCATTAATTTTCTGTTTATTTCTATAGCGTAACCCTGACACTTTATCCTAAACCTAACCACCCCAGTACATACCTGACCTCAAATCTAAACTCAATTCACACCTTGGTCCTAAACCTAACCCCCCACCCAAAATTATCATCTGTAACCGTAAAAACAAAAAAATCAGCATCCATAACCGTGGGGACGTCCCCACGATTTTTTGTTTTTCTGGAAAATGGTCCCCATGATGTAGCAAAAAGTTGTCCACACACACAGATTAATTTAAAGCATCCGACTGCAACACATCCATAAATCGAATTTAAAAAAGAAAGACAGAAAACATCTCTTAGTGCTTCAGGTCCTACTTAAGAACTTATCTATTTGTATCTTATGTTTTGTTGTAATCCTTTTGAAAAATTTTGCAAAAAACAAACGAAACATAACAAAAAATATATTTTTACCATTACCTCTCATTAGTGTGCGTTTGCCACAGATGGTTGTAAATCCTCAGATGAAATGCTCGTGACCTCCAATGGGATTCTGTTCCTTTCACTTGAGAGCCTATTAATTGTCTGCAATTATCCTTTGCAAGCATGGCATCTGTCAGAAGTATCTCCCCTTATCCCGCATGGATAAAAATGCCACAGTGGTAAAGGTTGACTGCGACATTCACTATTTATTGCACAGTAGATGTTGTACAGTTAAAAATTGCCATAACAGGTCTAAAAAACAAAACGAATAAAAAAAAAACATGTCTTGTGTATGGAACATTTCCCGTCGCCCATGTTTTTGGAGGACAAAAATTTTACTTTTGCTATAATAACACTTCTCACACAGGAAATTAATGAAGACAGTGCCTTGAATTGATTCTATTCATGGAAAACAAAATTTGGCTTCTGCAAAGCAGCTTGTTTTGACACTTGAATACTGATGTCTAAATTGTATTGTTCAGTATCACTGGAGACTCATCCATACTTCAAATGGTGCATTCAAACATCTTTGAAGTTTAGTGCAAATTCCATGAAAAAAAGTCACAGAAATGAAACAGTGTGTAACTTATAAGGCAACAATTATAAATATATCAAAAATAGTTTTTGGAGAACTATCTTTGTTACAAAAAAGGTACAAACATTTTATCCTGTACTAGTGAGAAAGACATGTTTCTCAGTTCCTCGACTGACTTCACAGCCTTGTATCCCAGCTGCTTGAGTACTTTTTGACACACAGCTTGTGTGGATTCCACAATGTCATAAGACAGTTTTAAACGCCAACTCTCTGCGTTAGCAGCTGAGTCCCTCACGGTTCCAAACTTGTGTTTTGCCGAAGGTTCATTGCTWCCTCGGGTGTTTGCACGTATCCAGTGTTTCACATTTTTATCCATAGGCAGCCCAAGAAAGTCATAGATTTCTTGTGTCTTAAGAAGAGGATTTCTCGCCAAATCCTCATATCGAACCAACATGTATTTCCCTTTCAGCCACTGCGGATGGCTAAGACCAGTTGAGACAGAACCAAAAAAGTCTTCACAGATGACTGTGAGCTGATTCATGTCAAGATTATAGGGTCTTCTCCCTGTGGCCCTCCAAATGCGCCATAGACGGTATGGGTCCCTGAACGTCTCAATCCGTGATGACAGGATGCCGCGTGGGTCTCTGACGAGCTGGATGACTTTGATATTCAGCCGTGGGTCTTCAACCAGAGCACGCAGGTCCCCAATCTCTGGCACACGGACAACTTTGATCGCAACGTGCTTCTTTTCCTGACATGCCTCCGTCGCTAAAGTCATGTTTAAGGTCGAGCATTTCCTCACACAGTCTCCCTCCTCCACATTTGCATCGCCCGCACCAAAGGCATCGCATACAGGTTGCTGGCACAACGCTCGGCTGGCACCACGGCGGAACAGTTTGTCTGTGGTGTGGTTTGAGGGTGTCGGTTTGATGTAATTCTCCAGGAAGTAGAGGTCACAACCATACAGACTACGCAACAGGTCTCGACTGGCTCCTAATGTCACACGCCGGTCCGTAGGGTTGCGGGTGTGTGACTGGCGTGGAACCAACGTAGCGTAAACGTGATAGAGCGGTTCAAACAGGTAGAATACCTCCTGATGCTGGTTCAGCAGCTGGCCCACAAAGGAGGAGCCGCTGCGCGTGGTGGCTAAGACCAGTATGTGCAGTTTGCGAGTGGCATTGATGGAAAAGTAAGGGTAGTCATCGCAGCCAGCCCCACCTGCTGCTCCTTGCTCAAAGGCAGGGTCTGTCTCTTGAGCCCCCAGACCACAGTTCTGGGGGCTGGGCAGCGGGCACAGCTGGAAAGGCTTGGACGTGAGTGTCCGGATGGCTGTGTACTGGATAGCAATGGAGGCCAAGGCCAGCAGAATTACTGACTTCCAGGAACATTGCATGGCTGAAGCATTTCATCCAGCCAGAGCCGACTAAGCCAGGTCCTCCCTGTGAACAAAGAATATACTATGAGGAGCTGAAATGTTTGTCATTCTACTTATTGAACTAGTATCACAAAGTGCATCACATAATACTCATTTAAATAAAAACTAGTATTTATCTCACATGTAAGTACTGTAAGCTGGACAAAGAATATTAAAATGTAATTTATTTCACAATAGCAAATAATAGCTACTGTATATAACTTGCATTGTGGTAGATTTTACAACTAAAGTGAGTCATCAATGGTTTATGTTGGCCTGTTTTATGTAGTATTTTTCTGCCAGTACAATATGTTACACCGGTTTTGTTGAAATAAGGGTAAGAATTTACTGTACCCGAAAAAAAAAAGAACAAAAATATGAATAGTAATTTTAAAAAAGAAATAAACTGCAGCAGCCATGAGTCAGATTTCTATGTTAATCATCTACTTTATGTCTTATTTCTCCTGCCAGTTCTGCAGTCGTATTTTTTGGAAATGAAAAGAAATAACGAAGTTTTAAGTCTCTGTGTTTGGTTTATTTCCAATCAGCTGACTCTGCCTGCCAAAACATGTGCAGCAGAATCAGAGCCAAGATCACAGTGAGATACATACAGTAGCTGTTTAATCACCAATTTTGCTATGAAAACAAGGCATTTTACCTAAATATTTTAATCAGTTCTGACATTTTTCCTACATAGTTTCAAATCAGTTAGTGTCAAACAGCTATTATCAAGCACAGATTGTTTCAGTTATTTGCAACATTTCTCCTCAATATTTCTTTCACCTTATCTGCATCTAATTAAAGCCATTATAGGCTTTATTTGAGTGTCTACTTATTGATTCTTGCACATATTAAAATATTTTAAAAGTCTGTTTAGAAAGAAAACAACAGAGTTTCAAGATTTACTGCCAATGTCATGTCAAGGGGAAGTGCAAATGGAAGTAGAATAATTAGATAATATCATGGTAATTTGTCTTACTAGGAATTTGAAATGATAAATGGGAGCCTGGGTTTAGTGAAGTTTAATTGTGGAAGTAAAAAAAAAGGACAATCACTTCAGAAGCCATGCGTGAAAATGAAAAATAAATATTAAAAAATAAGACAGAGAGAGAGAGAGAGCAAGAGAAAAAGAGAACTCTGAGATTAAACAGCTTTAAAAAAAATAAATCCTACAATGTGCTGCATATTAAAAATGAATACATGCAGTTCCCTCTGTCCGGCTCGAGACACCACACGTCCCTCTGTTTGTGTACGGAAAGGAGGATGATGATGATGATGGTGCGCTTATTACTACCACAATCCCCCCTCCAAAAAACATCACTTCTACAGCTGACGAGCCCAGGCAGGGAGCATCTATGCGTTCTCTTCACTGACATTTTGAAAAAAAAAAGAAAAAAAAAAGGCCCACTTCACTGCAGGAACAGGTTATAGGCTGTCAGAGATGCAGGCATCCGTATGCAGCGAGAAGACAATATAACTCAGATTAACGCGTCTCAGCCAGGCAGCATCAAATACACTGAAGCCTGCACGGAACACACACCATTCCATACAAAATGCACAGAGGTAAAAACCAAAACAAGCTTGTTTCGTTGTACCTTGTTGTTGGTTGTTTTGTCATGATGCGCGGTATGGTGCGTTCATGAATCCCGGCTGGTTTGGGGTGTTTTTAGTCCTCGAAACGTTTCCCAACCCCCCCTCTCTCTCCTCCTCCTCCTCCTCCTCCTCCTGCGCGCTGCTCCCCCTGTTAGGAGAGAATAAACGCGCCTGGCAGCTTCCTGTGTTCCATCTGACGCCGGAGCGAGGCGTTCAAGTTCAGCGGCTGGCCTCAGACACACCGAGGAGGGATGAAAAAGAAAAGGAGAGAAAGAGAGAGAGAGGATGGTGGGCCAGCGTTGGAGCGCGTGTGTTATTAATAACCAGCCAGGCAGGCAGGCGCTGAGGCTGACCGAGCCGGACTMCCCCCCATTTTTTTTTTCTTCCTTCCTCCTTTCCTTTCTGTGATGCGCAGAGAGGCTGAGCTGAGCGTGTGAGGTATAAGCTACACAAGGACCGACTGTCTGGACCACCCCCGACCCCTCCCCCTTTCCACCTGCCTCTCTCTCTCTCTCTCTCTCTCTCTCTCTCTCTCTCTCTCACACACACACACACACACACACACACACACACACACAC